ACTACACTCCTCACTTCTATTGCTTTCACTTTTGTCCTCTTAAAGGCGTAGAAGCTTCACATGCACAAAAAGCAGGACTCTGACAGCTTTGGCAATTTTAGTGTTATTATTATTGTCGTTTCATGTTGCACAGAGAACACAAAAACGATGTGTCACCTCTGAGATCTACAGACACTATGGAGAGGATCCAAACGCTACTCTTCCCAATTTTCAGGCAAGGAAAATCCTGAACTCCTGTGTCAGAAGTAGCTGTCAGTGCTGTGGCTTTATCCCTCTCAGAGCAAATAGAAAAACAAACAAACAAACAAACACCTAAGAGAATAAAAATACATTTGTGCTCTCAATAGAAAATTCTTATTTCTGGCTTTTTTAAGAGGTTTTGTTTTGTTTTGTTTTTTTTAATGCCATTTGATCAGTTAGGTGGCAGGATTCTCTGGTCTTTATTGTTTCTTTCAAGCTTTTCATACCAAGAATTTCTTTAAATGCCTAATATCAATCCACTAGACTTATCCTGAGCTTTTACTATTCCCTGAACTTTATATATTATTTTCATAGCATAAAAAGTAACCAATCCTGCAGGTATTTCAGGGTAGCTTAACTACAGAACTGAATTTGTTGAATGCAAAGCCTGAAAAACAGAGTAGCTCATAACTCCCAACACAGGTGTAACATTGATGACAAAAACTAAATCCTAAAAAATTCTATTATCTCCTTGTATTTTAAGTGAAAATAACAACGTGTACCTCTTTTGGTTTTGTAACAATTCCATTTGGACTCCATTGGAAAACTTTTATTCTAAAACAGAAACTACAATTCTACTTTATCCAGTTAAAAGAAAAAAAGAAAAAAAAAAAGAAATTCTTAATTAAAGATCATTTTCTCAAATTATATCTGAGTAATGTCACTTCCAGTACCTGATGGACAAAATCTTTAACTTTGTCCAGCTTCTGCTCACAACTTACTAAGTGTTATGCAGCACACAAGAACCACTGCATTCAAATCTCTTATCAGACTAGCATGCTATCGTACTGGGAGATAAGGTTACAGCACACCACGAGCAAGTCTCTCCACTCTGATACACCATATCATTAATAACCTTAGTGCTATTTATTATTACTGTAACTTGCAAATTTAAAAGTGGAAATCTTCCTTCATTTCGATGCTACATCATAGATTGCTGGCTTCAAAGAAACAGAACACAAACAGCATATTCTTCCATGTACGTTGTTCCCAGCATTACTATTTTTCTTGTTTCACTACAACTTAAGCAGGAACATGTAACTGGGGAAGAAGTTTAGAGGAAAAGTAGGTTTAATGTGTTTTGAGTTTTTTATTGCCAGATGTAATTTCACATTACCGAAATACTAAGAAAAAAAACCACCAAGACCTCTGCCATTTACAAACACAAGATTGTTCAGATCGTTTACTTGAAATAAACACAAAATTAAAATATTTTTTCTGGTATTTTGTAGCAACATGAACAAAAAGAAGAAGCCTAACAGTGACCTCGCTTATAAGTAGAAGATGTGGATTGAGAAATTAGCATAGTTCCAGTCAAGAAAACAGAAATATTTTACTATACCCACTGATGATCTGTCCAATACCATACTACCTCATGGAACATCAAATTTACACTGTATACTGATATGATAATAATCTCTAAAAGCACCGAAAATGACCTATACTTTAGATAATACATATGCAGTGTCAAGAAGACAATAAATACATATAGAGAAAATATGCAGTAGAATAAATTAAGAAAATAGTCTTTGTGATCCATGCTCAAACTCATGTTTAAGTATACTTACTATTATTAAACTATTTCTGATAGAAGAAGATGTCTTCTTCCAGAGATGGATGATTTCATCTAAGAGGAGTTAAAAAAATAGTAAAACTTTCTGACTAAGAAGGATTTGCCAAAGCTGCTACAGAACCGTGGTTTCTGTTTTACAAATACTCCCTGAGCTTTGCAAGATAAAACGGAATACACTTCACAGCCAAGCGAGAGTGCAACGAGGCTGGCAGCCAAAACCTCAGGTCTCTCAGTGACCTCACTGTATAAAAAGCTTCCCTGTGCCAAAAATCAAGTAAGGAAGATGACACGAGGCAAAACAGTGATGTCCTAGAACAGTGCTATAGGCTGACATTTCACCTACCTTAACACATACAGAAAAAGCTTCTACAAATTTCCTTCACTGACTCTGAATGTCAGTCTATGTAACTGCTAAGCAGCTGAGAGCTCCCATGGAATGCACAGCCATGGTTGTTCTGCACCTCCGGAAAAACTGGGTCACTTCTTCAAAGATGTAAATATGGACCAGGAAATCTACTTTTAGATTCCCCCTTACTATCCTCCACAATTCTGGTTCTGTTTGTAAAGTATACTCATTGCTTTCTAGAACAACTCGCTTAAAAATTAAGATCATTTCTTTCCATAGTTAATAAAATCAGCTGTAATGCCAAGACCACAGGATTTTAAAAATAAATACATTGATTTTTCTTTTTTTTGCTACAACATTTTGAGACAAGATTGATTAACTTATTTACATCTAAATCTATTACAGCTATATGCTGATTGTTGTGTTCTTCATGTTTGTTCAAATCAGGAACTGCTAGAAACAACTTCAGAAAATAGAATAAGGTTATAAATCAAGTAAGTCTAATCCAGCCAAATCTCCAGTATTAATCAGAAGAATTTTGCAAATGTAGAGGTAGAAGAGACCTTGTAATATATACTTACCCTTTTATTACTGTAGAGGCAACAAGCTTTCATGCTTAAGATCTTTGTAACACTTCCAACCTGTAAGCTAAATGAACTTTTTCTATCAGAATACTCTCCTACTGAAGAAAGACAATAAATCAACAAATTTGCAACAAGCTTCTCATTTTGTAAAAATTTTAATAGAAAATATTCCCAATGTCTGGTCCAAAACCATACCAAAGTGACATATTGGAATAAATAGTTTCAGCATTACTGAAATAAAGTAGTTCAAATGCATGGAGAAGAAATTTTGGATAAATACTTTTGTTTTTTGAAAACTAACATTTGAGAATTAGATTTCTTTTTTGTATATGACAGACATTTGTCTGCCTGTGCTACAGACATGACTGCCTTTCAGTGGCAAATGAGGAGATCACTGAAGACAGCCCTGCACGCTATTCAAACACCTTGTTTTAAATATAAAGTGTACGTGTGTTGCTTATCTTGGGCTCAGATAGACTCCTGTACATACAGCTTGGGAACAGATAAACAACCTCACACATTCCTGTTTGGATCAGCAGCATGTACATTGTCAAAGAAGTGCTTTCTGTTTTTCTCACACTCAGAAAGGGGAAAGGAAATCTTCACCTAACTGACCATTGCACAATAAAACTTCTGGGAGAGAAGTGGAAGGACAATCCAGTCTACTATATTGCTAAGACTCTTGCACATTCATTTTCATACTAACAGTTTATAATTCCCATAAATAATTTCAGTGTCAGTGAGAGCAATTATGGAAGCGAGAATGCTTCATCTAGGCAAAGCTGTACAGAATTGGGCCCTAACACTTGAAGGCTTTTCCAACTTCTCTTCAGTCACTTTTCCAAATGTTGCAGAATCTTAAGTACAATTTTCTTGATTAGTGTGGAAAGGATTCCTTTACCCAAACAATTCCACTTATGACTCCTAGCTTCAGCATGGGTTTGCAGCATACAGTATAAGATTTGAAAAATAAAAGATTTTGCTTGTGTCATAGAAACTCAGCTGACAGCCTGCAAAAGCTTTTATAAACACAGTGTACGTAGCACATATCCATTTCTGTACAGGGAAAACATAAACAGGCATTTAAACAACTCCAAGCACACAAATTAGAAATACCTTCCCCCAAGAGTATTTAATATAATTTCTATGAAAAATGAAAACAGCTTTATTTCAAACATCTGAGTGAAGGAAATATTTTGGGAGCCTTATCACTTCCACATAATTCTTGCAGTACTGCAATACCTGAACTGTGCCAAGGCATATAACCAAAAACTGTTTGTTAAACATTTCCAACAGCCCGGTGCTCAACATTTTTAACATATTATAAAAGCCTCTAAAATGGTAACTGCAAGGGTAATGAAATCGATTGCCAAATAAAGCTTTACCACTTTCAAGGCACTACACCATTATGAATTTTCACAAATCCTTATGAAGTAGCATAGAAGTTGTTGCAGAAATTGAATTGCATAGAGTATGGCTGTGACACAGTCCTTCATTTTAGGCATATAAATAAATGGCAGAATATGTGCTCAAATCTAAGCACAGACTAGAAGGGACAGTTCACTGCTTAATTATCCCAAGCATGATGAAGTAAATCAATTGCAGCACCATGTTGAGACCTTGAAGGAACACACTTCTTCCTGCTGACTTTGCTCATTCATTAATCTGCACAGTTAAAAACGATTGGTAGCATCCCCCTTTTGCATCTCCTGCAAAGCATGCTAAACGCTAGTACTTGTTTCTAAAAGCATGATCTTCACAAATATTGTTACTACAGTACCACCTGAATCACTTTTGATTCTCTGTCCTCCTCACTACCCAGATGACACAGGGTTTTGCTGTTCATCCCCAAGGCCACGCAGCTCCCAGAGGAGTCAGGCAGGACCACAGCTCTCAAGGCACAATGCATCAGTGCAGGGCTCGGGACATGAGTGCTGTTCCCCCTGCTGTCAGGCCTACCACTTTGGAAAGCTAGAGTTGAACCGGCACACCTAGAAACACAGAGGAACCACTTTGGGGTGCTACAGAGGCAAAACCCTAGTCATACACCATCTTTTTCTCAAATTCAATGCAACTTGAAGATTTCTGTCACACTGCAAACTTGCAGTAAATAAACTACTGCCAGCCAAGCTCTGCTTTGCATCACCAATCCCACAGCCATCAGACAGGCACACTGTGCTGTCACTGCCCCATTCCCCAGCAATCCCCGCGCTGTGGGCACACAGCAAACACACCAATATTAGCCAACGAGACGTACCTGTACAGTGCTCCTCCGCAGTGCTGTGCATTGTCTGTGCCTGCAGGCCTGCAGCTGGGGGCACAGCCTGGGGATCTCTGATTCTGGGGAGACCACGTTTAATCTTCCCAAAGCACTGGGATCTGGTTGCAGCATCACAGCCCGCACAGTGCTGTACATCTGTGTAAGAAACATTCCCTAGGCAAGCTGAAATTTCTTGGTTTCTCATTATGACGGCCTCAAAAGCACCTTTATAAATAGACGTGTAATCACATATATATGTTTACATATCTATAAGCCTCAGCTGTGTCTCCGAATTTAGCCGCATTAACCGCCCTAGGCGATTGTCTCCCCAGCACCAAACAGCCGCCCTCCAGGAGGCACCGCCTCACTGCATGCAGCGCCGGCTCCGGATGCCGGCGGGCAGTGCGGGCGGTCGGCGCGGCGCCGGCAGCTCGAGGCAGCTCATAGCGGGGGTGGGCCTTTGGGAGGGGATATGTAAAGCCCTGCGGATTAACATAATCGGGCGGGGAGGTGGCCGGAGCGCGGCTTGTTCAGGCGTGGCCCGAAGGGGCTGGGGCCGGCGGCGCTGCAGCCCGCGCACCGTACTGCCGCCGCTGCCGTGTTAACGCAAACCGAGCGCAGTGTCAACAGAAAAGGGGTTACGGTTTCCACCTCACGCTCTGCAGCTCGTTGATAAAGCCTAGACGTGCAGCTCACGTTGGTCACTTCAGTGCTAACAGCCCCAGATTCTTCTGCTCAAGCGGTAGCAATCTCAGGCTGCTAGGCAGCACGCCTAGTGTTATGCTGCCTATGATCTAAGAAGGTAGGAATTTACTTAAAAGTTTAACAGAACTGTCCTTCTAGGCTTTCTTCTCAGCACAGCCCTATCTAATGCTTCACAGAAGAGCATGCAAAAATGCCCATTGTCCAAGAGCAGGCAGCTCTTCATCATTTGTCTTCATCATTTGTCTTCACCATAACCTCAGTTGATGCTGGCATAAATCTCATAGTGTGCCACCTTACTCCTCCTGATGGAATCACAAAATATCATTATCTGGATGGGACCTGCAAGGATTGCTGACCCAACTCCCAGATCCACACAGCACCACTCATAACCAAACCCAATGACCAGCGTCCCAAGGCTCTGTGAGCTCCAGCAGCTCAGTGCCATGCCCATTGCCCTGGGCAGGCTCTTCCATGCCCACCACCCTCAGGAGCAGAGCCTTTCCCCATCCCCCGGCCCTCCCCTGGCACAGCTCCAAGCAGTTCCCTCCATCCCCACGGCTGTCACACAGAGCAGAGATCAGTGCTGCTCTCTTCTCTCTGTGAGGAGCTGCAGCCGCCATCAGGCCTCCCCTCACCTCCTTTGCTCTGGGCTGAACCAACCAAGTGCCCTGAGCCACACCCCACACATCATCCCCTGTGGACTCTCCACCATCTTTGTAGCCCTCTTTTGGACACTCTCTGATAGCTTTATACCTTTTTGTACTGCTGTGCACAGTGCTGCACACAGTGCCCAAGATGAGGTTGCACACACAGTGCAGCATGGGACAATCGCTTTCCTCAGTGGATGAGATGATATGCTGGATGCACTCCAGAACATGGTTGGCCATCCTGGCTACCTATGCATGCTGTCGACTCATGCTCAGCTTGCTGTCAACCTGCATCATGTTGACCTCAACCTTAACTGTTAGTACTATGTGATTGGGTGAACTCAAATTAGTTGACCAGTTTCTGCCTAAACTTTGCCGAATCCTTGACTCAGATGTATCACGTCAAAGAGTTCCAGACTCATCATCATACTGTGCAAAGGTCTGTTACCATATTTTATTTTTGAGCAAGAGCAAGAATTCCAATTCTTTGGAATTCTCTTTGAGTTCCAGTAAGTCAATAAAATTGAAAATTAGGGCACTGTATTTAGATATCAAAATTAGTATTATTTTAAAAAATTATATAAAAAGTTCTCATTCTTAAGATGAGGAGATTGATATCTCTTTTAAAAGATCCATAAAAGTGATGGAAGTCACCAGCAACTTACTGTTGTCTAATACTGTACTGAGACTGATCCAGTGGCTCCCTGTGGGGTATCATTTGGGATTCTCTTCTGATCTATGTGTAATCAGCCTTCCCTGTGGCAACATATTACTGTGAAACTCATTTAAGACACTTAAATAAATACTGTATTAAATAAATATATTTTACACCAAGTGTGGCTAAGTAAAATGACAGTTTGAGTTTAGAGGTGTGTGAAATGAAATGTGTTTCTATTAAACATGAGTTTGGTTAAAGCCCTAATAAGCCTGACTGTTCAGAAAACGTGGACCAACAGGCAGATCATGGCTGAACTTTGAAGACCAGACTGTCCCCGTAGTCAGGGTGTTTTCCTCATAGATGATCCACTCTGGACCTCTTGCTTATAGCTACATTTTTCTATTTAGATCTGAAAAATCAAATCAATTCAATACCCAAATTTCACTTAGATTTTCCTGACTTCCACTTTACTAATTTAATTTAGAAATTGTGCGTTGCTCAAGGCTAGCTTAATTTTTGGCCCATACTTGTTCAAAATGATTACAAGTTCTGTTTTGATTAAACTCAAATTACATTAAAATGTAGTAAAACTGCAGAAGTAGCTTTTCATGGTCTCACATTTAATTGTCAGTACATTTGTTAGTGTATTTTGAGGCAGTGAACTCAAATACATCAGGATATTTCATAATGTAAAATAAAACAATTTACAGAGTATTTAAAAAGAAAATTTAGTGTTTAAGTTTATTCCTAAGAACCACAGTAAATTCAAACACGCAACCATAAAATTATAAGTGCCTACATGACAAGAAATACTCCAAATCCTCCAAAACCAAGCCCTGAATATTTCAACTTCATTTGCTTTTCATGTTTCCATTGGCTTAACATGAATTACACCTGGGTGCTTCCCACAGTGTGAATAGTTGTAATTAATGTCTCCTTAACTCTGCCGTTTTTCTTTTTAACTCAGTAATGCTTGATTTGGCCTTGCCTTATAAGCACATTTTGTTTCAAATGCAAGTTATCTATGTTTCAGTCTCTGTCCAAGTCCACTTTAGTAGAAGAGTGCTTTATTTACAGAAGTCTTGTTTGTGCCAGTAAAATTAAACATTCAGAAAAAAAATGTTAAGGGCCCGAGTCCTTCCTGCCAAGGGATGTAGTGGAAGCAGAGTAAGGAAGAAGAGTAAAGCATACAGAGTACGGGGACAGGTGCTACTTCCCATCACAGTGGGACATGGCAGCGCGGACTCTGCGGGATGCCTGCACTTCCCTCCGGCCCTGCCCACTGCCATCCCAGTTGCACATAACTAGCACTGCTGTTGGACAAACATGGATTCTGGTTTGGATCAGTGACAGGAATGCCTCCAGCACCGGTGGACTGAATGGTTACAAAGAACACTTGATTTTTAATGGTGAACACTGTAGGTTATAAACACTGCACACTACTCTTTTGTGCATGGAAGTACTAATGTGCAGACATTACTGAAGGAAAACATAAGAAGAATGGCCACTTCAGTCACATAATTATCAAATGTCCTGAGTCAGCATGCACAAAACGCCAGCTCTGACAGAAATAGAAAGTCATCTGAAATTAGTCCCTCTGGCAAAACATCAGTCAATAGACAAAGATATTCAAAATTTCTATGATTCCGCACAATAGATTTTATAGAATACTTTTGAGATAATTGAATGTTCCTAACTGAAAACTGCTAGAGAAAGAGAAGGTATTCTGGGGAAGCACCATACCAGCTTGTTCTGTTCTGAGCCTTGGCATTCATTGCAGGCCACTGCTGAAGACAGGATACTTTGATTCACACTTGAATCACCATTACTGCATCCCTAAGTTAATCACGTTTTCATTTTCACTGTAGAATTCCTTCAAATAATAAAATTTTTAATAAATTACAAGATAGGTGAGTGTTGGACATCATCTGAAACTGCTAGAAAAAGTAAAATAAACTGGAAATCAAGAAGTGCACATATCCTGTGCTACTGACATTTCATTTATCAAAATGTGAATTAATGTATCCCTGCATGGGAACTGCTGAGTCACAGTCTGAACCTCTGATTGATCACTGAGGCGAGCCATGAGTCAGCCAGAGGAGCACAGCTGAAGGCAATTCACCTGTGCTGCTGGAAGGGATGGAGCCTGGCTGCACCCCTCCTAGACCTATTGAAGAGCTGGCTACCAGAGGGGAAGGATCTCTTCTGGAGATCCTTCCTTTTGGTGTTTTGTGGGTGAGCCCAGCATAAGAGTAAGCCTTCCATTTATTCTCTTTTGTTATCATAGTCTACTTCATCTAACTCTCTTGTTTATTTGTGTTTGTAACATCTTAATATCCATTGATTATACAATCCCTATATATTTTTCATCAATTATTAAGAAATTCATTTTGTATTAATTAGAAATTAACATTAAATCCAATTTGAATTAACAATGTCATCTCATCAATAGACTGAGTATGTTCTACTCTATATAAAATGGGAGTTTAACAAGAGAATGACACACTTTGTAAGTAAGTTGTCCTTTGTGTTTAACCTCAAGCACCACATCTACACATCTCTTGTGAACCTCCAGGGATTGTGACTCCACCACTTCCCTTGGCAGCTTGTTCCAATTTTTGACCACTCTTTTGAAGAAGAAAGTTTTCCTAAAATCCAACCTGAATATCCGCTGTGCAAAATGTAGTTGTGCATAGTTCATTTTGTTTCTGCAGCCTTATGTAGCACTCAAAGGGAAATGCTGTGGGCCTTTACAAAAGTGATATGTTATTTTGTATAAACCACTATTATGCTGAGAGGAAAAGAAGGGAGAGTATCGTCAGTGATCCTCTAGAGTGGAAATGCAATATATGTAACAGTTGAGATGAACTACTTGGAAGAGAAATAAAAGTAAGAAGATGATCAGAGATCTGGAACACCTCTTATAAAGAGAAGTTGAGGGAATTGGGCAAGCACAGCTTGGAGAAAGGAAGGTACTGGGGAGACCTTGTTGCGACCTTCCAGTACTTGAGAGGAACTTATAACAAGGAGAAAGACCAACTTCTCATGTGGTCTGATAGTGATAGGATAAGGGCTTTAAACTAAAAGAAGAGAGGTTTAGATTAGATGTTAGGAGGAAATTCTTTAGTCAGAAAGCGGTGAGGTGCTGACACTGCTGCCCACAGAGCTGTGGTGCCCCATCCCTGGAGGTACTCAAGGCTGGGTTGGATGGGGACCTGGGCAGCCTGAGCTGGAGAGAGGAGGGGAGGGAAGGGGGACATTGCCAGCTGCAGGGGATTGGAACTGAGTTTTACTGTCCCTTCCAAGCCATCTCATTCTGTGATTCTATGAGGAAGCATAGCTGGGCTGTATTCCTAGCTATGTCATCAGCTGAAGTCATTAATTCTACAGCTTCCGAATTTGTTACAAAG